TTTAAAAAGACTTTGAAAACATTTCTCCTTGAACATTGTTTTTATAGTATAGATGAATTCTTCTTGTTTGGGGATAAATCCTAGTTAATATCAATATTACCAGATAATTCAAGAATAAGTGACTTGTTGAGCTTATACCAGCATGCTATGAATGTATACTGCGCAGTTCTCTTCTGCTTAAAGGAATCAAGACACCATGTTGGATGTGATAGAAAGGACATCATGAGATGGAGGGACGTCTACGTAGGCCGCTTAGAGAGAGATAGAGAATACCAGGCCATCAAGAAGGGCACCAATCTGCTGAGAACATCACATTAGCTATCAATATCATTATTCTAAGGCCACGCCATAGCTTAAGCGATTAGTCGCTGGCTTCCCACCACTGTGATCTGAGCAAGTGGGATTTGTGATGGACAAAATGGCGCTGGGGCAGGTTTCCTCCGAGTACTTCGGTTTCCCCTGCCAATGTTCATTCCATCAAATTCTCCACAAATAAGAATGTAAAAAATTGTAACTATTGTAATTTTAATCTACTTATATATCAAATTGTTAATATTCAGAATTAACTTGACTTGTCATATATCATGTACAATGATCTACAGTGACGAAATAAATCAATCAATCAATCAATCAATTCACACAAAATCCAGCTGCTTTTACAATCAATTTTACATCTTGCACTGCCATTTCATTACAAACTTGGAACAAATCCACATTCAAACATTGGTAACGTGAATTCTTTTCACAAGCAGCCAATGGGACAGGCCATTAAGGAACCATCGGTTGTACCTACTTCACATAATACACGCTGCCACCCACTGTCACCCTCTCCTCCCGGCCTGGCAGCAACTTATCTTCACTGTCAGAATGGTCAGAATGGTCAGAATCAGGAATTATAGCCACCATTATTGACAAATGTACAATAAAACATGTTCACCTCAGAGAATCATGCAACACAGACAACAACCACTTCAATGCCACACCTCCACCCCAATTTAGGTGCTGTAAACACGCAAATTACAAGTAGACTCTAAACGGTTCTGATGATGGTGTATAACACGCAGAATTACCAAGTTTCATGACTCTGTCCATTGTCCAGTATTCTAGAAACTAGAAAATACAACATTTTGTAAACTGGATCTGTTTCCATCCTCAGGTGAGGGAGGGAAGACACCTACTCAGTTAGGTCCCTTAAAAAGAGCTAACCTCAAACACTCGATTGAGGTTAGCTCAACTGAAGTGCCTTTCCCTCTTCACCTGGGGACGGAAACAGATCCAGCTTACAAAACATTCTGTTCTCTAGTCTCTAGAACACAGGATGATGGACAAATCCAAAAACCCACTAATTCTGACTCAAATTACAAAGTACCCTTGTTCCGGTGCGCACGTAAACAGAGCCGGCTTCTTGTTAAAAAGACCACCAACATGAAGATACAAAACACTTCCTGAAGTGTATTTGTTCTATTAGGTGAGACTTTTGACACAGCATTTCATTCAGGAAAGAAAAACCCCTCAAAATGAAAGCCAAACTGAAATATTTATAGTGCCTAGAATGGGAACTTGTTAATTAAACAAACATCCTCCAGATTTCACTAACAACAATTTGTATAAATTCTGAACACATACGATACAACCTCATGAAAGCATACAGGCAGATTGAATGTACTCACATAATCAGTATGCAAATAACATTCAAAGAATGAACACTGCCATCGCAGATGAATGCAACTCCGTATTTTGATTACTTTGTAACGGGCACCACTGGAACTGCGATTGGTTCGATGAAATCCTCTTGATGGTAAAAATATGAACCGAGGAGCAGTAACTGAATTTTAATTTGGGAAAGAACTCATTTCTCCCAACATTTGTACCTACACATACTAAACAAACGTCTCTCTTAGTTAAAAGTGTTTAAATCCGAGCAAGTCGTTTTCAGAAAATTTCCTACAGTGGATCCAGCTTTTATAATAACCTGTATTTAAAATTCAGTTTAATCTTTCCTTCAGTTCCTTGGCAAATCCTCTTTCAAGGCTATCTCCCATTACTATACGTTTTTGTTTTTTCTCGTTTGTTTAACTCATATTATTTGTCCTCAACTTCGTTGTCTTTTTTACCTCATCATCCTAACGGTAACAATTTGCCACCAATTCTCTTGACTTACGCAAGGATCTTGACCCAAATACCTACAGATAAGTCCAAAAACTGAAGCAATCTTAGCACATGTCGCGGGGAGGGATCGACAGGTTCCTATAATCAAAGTAATTGAAAGACGAAACTATACAATATATATATATATATTCTATCTATACGACAGAATGACCAATAAAAACGCTGACACTTCCAAAAAATCTAGTTGTCACTTAAAATTGCACAGAACATAGCTTATTAACTAAAAAATGTAGTGATTATTTTTATTCATATTTTCTACGGATCTACTTTTTGGTAACTGAAGTCGTGTCTTAAAGTTGTTAATTACACAGTTCAGTGATTATTTTTATTCGTAATTTATATGAATTTCCATTTTGGCAGCTGACGTCGTGGCTTAAAGTGGTTATGACAGAGACTTAAATGTGATACAGCCATTACTAATCACACGATTTGTTTTTTGGGTTTATTCATGATTTCTACAGACATCCTTTTTGGTAGTAGTAGTCTTGGCCTAAAGTTATATATCTGATAGTGGCCAAATGACATAAAAAAGACTGTAACGACGCGGTAACACTCGTTGCCAGCGGTGACGTAACAGGCCAGTAAACACGCCGCCGCCGCCTCCACGTGGCACCCCGCGCGGTTACGTAACAGCACTGTTACCCCTGGCGTAACAGGGGACACCGCGGTGACTACGTGGCAGCAGAGAACAGTATAAAAGGCTGGCCGTTTGTACTGTATGAGTCAGTGTGTGCGTGGTGTCCAGAGGTAGAGTGCGAATTGTGAAGCCAGAAGAAGACAGTGACGAACACGAGAAAACTGTTGTCAGAAGACCTTGTGAGAAAGAAACAGGACTACTTTCAAGCGTAGAAAAATAAGCAAACAAAAAATGAAGACCAAAATACTAATTACCGTATTCAGCATCGCAATGTTTGCAATTCCTGCGGCAATTTTCAAACACGGATACTTTCCTTCATTACAATCATCCGAAGTAATCCCAGCGCCCGAAATAACTCCAGCATTAGAAGAAATTCGAGCACTCGAAACAACTCCACCGCCCGAAATAACTCCAGCACCCGAAATAACTACACCGCCTGTACCAACTCCAGCGCCCGAATTAACTACAGCATCAGCAAAAATTCCAGCACCCGAACCAGCTCCAGCATCCGAAACAATCCCAGACTGTAAAATATTCCCAGTTTGGACCGTCGCCTCAGCAGACGAAATGGAATCCATGCAGTCCTGGGAATTTCAAGGATGGAGCACAGCAGCTGAACACCAGAATTTGTGGACGTTCCTTGCCCGTCTGATTTTCAAGCTCATCGCAGTCTTCATTATTAATATGTTGTATTATCTCCCACGTTACATATATCGACGGTGGTGGCGAAGGGAAGGCGAAACAGATCAGGAGCTCAGGAGCATTTTGTTTCATGAGAGTACTGGGCTCATCCCACAGATGAAAATTGTGATAGACTTGGTGAAAGAGGAAGACAATCGATTCGCTCGAATGAATGAGGTGGTGCGTTCAATTAAACAGAGGAGGGAGCTGCATGAAGAAAGCTGTGCCGAAACACAGAAGGACATTGAATCAATGAAGACCACGTTAGAGGTTCTGAGCCAACTGATTGT